GCTCCTATTGCAAACATGAAGTCAAGTATGTGCTTTAATCCTGTGGGCTCGGAGTCACAGATTTGGGAAGAGAAAAGCAAACTGTGATCCCTGTACAAGGATAGTAACTAAAGGCTTATGCTAATCACATTGCAGGTTTTTGTATTTCTGTGGCATAGAGCTCAGACGTTGCAGGTCTTGTCGGTCCTTCTGGATGTCCCGCAGTGTCTGCACTCTTCTTGAGTTGAGCAACATCATCCTTCAGCATCTGGTTGAAAACACTGGTTAAGCCTCGAACATTCAGAATACATTCAGAATAATTGAGACTTCCTTCTCAATGCCACACCCCCCTTCACCATTGTTGATCCTGGATGAATCCTGGAGAGATTTTGAATATTGATTCAATATGATCAGCTACACGTATCCAATAGCCCAGTTGGTGTATCCATTTAGCTTGATGACTTCAAAGACACTTTCAACCACCGTTTTATGCACTCCCTCCCAATTGTCCCTGCCATTGTCTGTCCTCATCTCTGGATTCAGTTCCTGGAGAGAAATTCCTGCCACCTTCACTGCACTCCATATGGTCACACTTGAGTCCCCATCTTCTCCCAAAATCCATCCATGGCAGCTGCTGGGATGAATGCCAAGGTTTTCAGCCATCAGAGAGCGAAATCTAGCAGAATCCAGGTTACAGCCACTTTCTATCACATGGTGCTTGGGCAACCCACTTTGTTTCCAGGTAAGAATATTCACTGTATGTGATATGTAAGAATATTACCTGGTGGGAGGGGGAGGTAGCACTAGAACTAATAGTGATTGCATAGCCTTTGAAGGCAATGTGACCATGCAGGGCGCCTGGGGTGAGGGTGGGTGGGGGAGAGGCTCTAAGATAGATGTGGTGGTGATTTACAACTCCCCTTGATGTGATTGCACGATTGAATTGTTTAATTGTATGACATGTAAATTATGTGCCGTTAAAACTGTTGGAAAACACAAACAAATCAAGATGGATTTAAACTCAATGGAACCTAACAACAAGATCATTTTATCTGTTCCACAGTAAGTACACTATACCTAAAGACTGAACTGAGATGCTATAGGAAAAACTGCCAATAGTTTTACAAATTGTCAATGGTTTTAAAACTTCTTGTTCCTTATGAATTAATTGGCAATGAGGTATTTTATTTGAGTACAGGTACGTAAACTTATGAGAGATCTTTTAAATCTCGGCAGAAACACAAACCCAAGAAGAAAATAGGTCTTCCTCATCCCGCTTCCCTCCTCTGGCCTCCTTTTCCATTTTGTGCTGAGAACACCACTTGATTCTACTTTAATTAGACATATTGCCAAATTCCTGGTAATTAAATAGTCTGAAATACTTAAAAACATTATATATATACCCCCACTGGTTGGACACCACAATGAGGCCGCAGTCAGGATTGTATTGTAGTTGATGATCTGAGGAATAATGAATTTGAAGACATTAACCTTCCTCTGCACCAGATGCTCCCCCTCTTGCTGACGAACTCCTGCAGTTACCACCACATCTGATCTTAGCATTGGTTGTCTCAGAGTTATCTTTATCCGCCACGATTTTATGTGTCTGAAAAAAGAAGCTGCAGATCCATCCATGCTGCAGATCCATCATTTCTCCTTTGAGTTTATCTTCCAAAACATCCACAAGGGCAAGCGCATTAGCCAGGCCCTTGCCCAGAAAGCCTGATGGCACGCACATGTCATAGCAATGTGCCCAACACCAACTACAGTGATGCTATTGTGTGGAACCATGGCCTCCTCTCTGCAATGGGTGCGATCAGCTTTTCTCAGGGTTGCGACCCTGAACAAGAGAGAGAAGGCTCTCAACACGACAACTATAGCTAGGACAAGAAGTCGGCTGCATTTGTCTCCTCCGTCTAAGTAATAAGAAAGCATTGCATCACAGTTTATTTGCCTCACAGTTTATTATTGCATCACAGTTTATTTTTCTTAGCGCAACATAAAATGAGTTTTACAGTTGATGGTGTCTAGATGAGTGATAAAAGTGGGAATGGGAGACGAGCGATTTTTGAAATACAATATTCTAAAACAAAACGAACAACAAACCCAAACCCATTGAGTCAATTCCAACTCACAACCCTATGGGGACTGAAAACCTTTACTGAAAGGACTGACTCTTCTCTTTGCCTCAGAGCAGCTGTTGGGTTCTAACCGCCAACCTTGCAATTTGCAGCCCATTGCTTAATCCATTGCATCACGAAGGCCACTTAAAATACCATACTAAAAAGACCATATTATTGACCCAACTTGGTGTAGTGTTGAAGGTGGGGTAAGATTAATGGGAAGGACATCCAGGATGGCTCACAGGTTTCTGGGCTGGGCAGTAGTCCATGAATAGTTAATTTAGGATGGATTGAGCGAGGCGCGAGGTGATTGGGGAGGAATGAAGTCGTGCTATTTGCTTTGGGGGGAGCTCCCCCCACCACCCACCACCCGGTACTTGGTTCTTGGACCCTGCCTCGGTCAGAGGCGCAGAGGAGGGGAGGGGCGGGACTGTGCACAAAGTATGGAACGCGGTAATGAAGGGCTGATCCAGCGGCGCAGCCCGCGAGCGCGCCCAGACGCCGGACTTGGCAAATAGGTGCCCAAAGGCCTAACTCACACAGAGGAAGGCGCCCTTCCCGGGGTTGGCCAGTAGCCCCGCCCCGCCCGGTGGCTTAGCTGGGCAGGTAAGCGAACCCTAGTTGCGTTGGTCCGTGAATCTCCCTACCAGCGCTCCTTTCCCGAGTCGGGATGAGAGGAGAGCTGTGATTGGCAGACTTACAGGGGCGGGGCGTGCTAGGCCTTCGCCCGCCTTCACCAGGGGACCTGGCGCCTTTCCTGGGCGAGGATTGGGCCGCGGGACCGCTGACGTTGATTGGGGGCGTGGCCAGCGCTAATAAAGACGGGGGACCAGCGCGGCAGCTGCAGTAAGTTCCACCGCAGCTCGAGCTCTTGCGGTCAGTGAGAGGCGGACCTGCGAACTTCTGTCGACTCACCCGCTGCTCTTCCCCCGTCGCCCGGCGTCTCGCCGCAGCCTCTGGAGGAGACGGACTCCCCACTCCCTGTGTCAGAAAAATGTGAGTTGACTCTGATGAGGGGCCCTCGGCACCTCCTTGCCACTCTCACCCCCAGCGCCGGACTCTGCGGGACGAAAAATGGCGCATTGCAGCAGCTGCGGCGACGCGGGGAACTACTACCGCGCGCCGCCCCCAAACCGGGCTGCTCCCAGGGAGCGGGGCAGCACCCCATTCCCGCATCAGCTGCAGCCAACATCCCGTGGGCAGGGGCCCAGGGGTCCCATAGTCACTGCACCCTCTCCTCTCGCCGGTGGGGCACTTCATTCCAGGTGGAGCCCGGGGAGGGCGAAGGGGGGCTTGGGGGCTCGAGGCTCTTTCTTGTGCCTGACGGAGCCTGTACTCAGGCGTCTGGAATTGCACTGCAACCTCTGGTGTGGTGAGTTTCCCCCTCACCCTCTAAGATGCACGCCCACCTAAGGGCATGGAGCGAAGCGCCAGAAACTTAGCTGCCAGTTCTATGGCACCAGATTGAGCAGCTCAGGAAGACGCAAGGGACAATGACACGTGAGTCCACACAGCCATTCATCCCAAGGCCACTATGTAGAAGGTATTTTCCTGTCATGCATCTTAGCCACGTATTTGAATGAGAAATAGGGGGAGCCAAGCATCCTGTTGCCCTGCCCCTAACTGGCTCCATTTATTTCTGCCTTCTTCAGCACCCCCCCCACCCCTAAGGTCCCAAGGGACAACTATGGGTAACAAATGGATTACTTCCCTAGACTACAATGTGTGTGACAGATTTTTCTTTCTGATCACTCCCTGGAAACTTGGTCCTGGCTCTTGGTGTATTTGTGATGCTTCTGTTAGTAACCAAAAAAGGGACAGGGTTTACCTGAGTTACATAAGGCATCTGACTCCTGGGCACTGCACACCTGAGTGCTTTCAACTCCCAACAGGTAGTAAGTGAAATGCTTTCTAGCTGTTTCCCGCCCCCTGCCCTCCCCGCCATCTGACTTGATATTTGTAGTTTTAACTGTATATGAACACCACCCCACCCCCCCAATCCCCTGAAGCATTTGATGAACTCCAAGGATTCCAATCAGTTGTTTTCATTTTGGGGAGGGGATCCTGGGCAGCCAAACTGGTTCCCAACAGCAGCCAAGTGGGATAAACAGAAGGAGATGGTAGCTGGCAGGGCATCCCAAGGTCTCTGACCTTAGTCTTGTCATTGGTGCCACCGCCCTGGACTGCTTCCAGGACCAGACACAGGCTGCTACGTATTACTTTGCTGCCTGTAGCAGCACCTGAGTCTTGGGGCATGCTTGGCCCTGTACCTGTCTTTCCTCTGCTTCCTTGTGCTTTATCGATTCCCCTACAAGGGGGTGAGTCAGATGTAACCCGCTCATCTGACCTCTCTGGAGGGTTGTCTGTGATTTTAGACGGAAAGCAAAGCACTTAGTGGGGAGGAGCTTCTATTGTGATAAGGAATTTCATTTTGATGAGTCTCTTGGTGGTTTATCACTTGGTGCGTTTACTCTGGGCTGCTCCGGGGAGGCATGTTTTGTGAGGTTTTGCTTCTTTTGATGGGACTTCTAATGGTCGTTTCTGTTTTCCACCAACTTTGAGAGATCACCGCCTGCCTATGGGTTCTTCCTTTGCAGAGGAAAAAAAGCTCATGCCTTAGATTGGACTAGGGGGCATTCAATAGGAGGTGAATTTAGCCTCTGTGTATTGGGGCTTGGGAGAAGAGTCCATCTTGAAGAACCCAGGCCAGATTGCTCCCATCTGGGGTGGGACCCCTTAGCCTGGGGTGCTACTTTGGCTTCTTGTGTGTAGGAGTGCAAACAAAGATTTCTCTTTGAGGGGGGATGTGTGGATAAGAAACTAAAGGAGTCTCCTGAGACTTCCTGCAGAGGCTAGGAAAAGAAAGCAGGAGGGTATCTGTAATATAGACACCAGGGACCATTTTCAGCCTTTCTGCTTCTTGTCTGTGCTCTTGGACCAGTGTCTGATGCTAATGCAGTGGCCGGGGACCAGGTTCTGTCTGAGCAGAACCTCAGCTTCCTGCACCAAAAACAAAGAAAGCCAACAGCCCTGACTCACGCCACCTACACAGGCCTGACTTTGGTGGCCATCCAGGTCCTCCTCACTTGCAGGCCCCATAGACTACTAATCATCCAACGGCACATAACCAGTCACGGGCCCCTCCCACAGATCCTGTCTGCCCTCCCTTTCCTGTGGTGGCTATCCAGGCTTGGCAGGAAAGGAGTAGCTCAGGTCCTCCGCTCACCCTGACAGTCCAGCCCTTTTCTTTCCCCAGGGAGTTTCTCCTCACGGGGATTCGGCTTTTCCAGTTGGCGTCATGTGAGATGTTCCTGCAGCAGGTACCCATAGCTTGGGTACCAGGGGGCCCGTCTGAGTCGGGTCTTAGAGCAGATGATGCCCCCTCCTGCAAAAAAAAGAGAATCTCATGAGGCTGCCCTGCATGTTCCTACGTGCCACTAAAACGTTACCCTGAGCCTTTTTGTCTCCTACTTCTTACTCCTGAATCTCCCTGCTTGGGATTGCCAAAGAGCCAGCTTCCCATCTGCCTGTTTCTAAAACCAAACCACACTCGCTGCTGTGGGGTCCATGCCGCCTCCTAGTGGTCCTACAGGACAGACTAGAACTGCCCCTTGGGGCTTCCAGGGCTCTGACTCAAACACAGAAGCAGCTGCTATATGTGTCAGAGTGCTTTCAGGGCTGGCCCCTCTTATTTGCACATAATCTAATTGTAATTGCTTTGGTGGTCGGGAGGTGGGTGGGAGGGGGGAGAAGTGGCCCAATGGGAGGGTTCTTCTCTGGGCTGAGTTACTTTTTGTCCCCTACCCACTTCTTTACACAGGTCTGATCCAGCTCAGCCGCCAGCCCAGGGGGAAGAAGGGGCTGCCCCAGGTGGGGGGCCCCCCGGCCCTCCCCCCAACATGACCAGCAACAGACGACTCCAGCAAACCCAGGCACAAGTGGAGGAGGTAGGTGGAGAGCTATTTTTCGGTATCTCGGATGATTAGAGACAGAAGGGAACATCTTGTGTGTTTTTCTCTTTGTTCTGGGGGTGGGGGTTGTGGTTGTGGGGGTGTACCATGGCCAAAGGCCCTGGCTGGAGGGGGCCGGCCGAAGCACCCAGTCGGTGGAGTTAAGCAGGGCCAGGCCTCCAATCCCTGCCATTTCCAGTGCAGAGCTTAGGTGCTCTGTTTCCGTGGCCCCTCAGGTGGTGGACATCATGCGTGTGAACGTGGACAAGGTCCTGGAGAGGGACCAGAAGCTGTCAGAGCTCGACGACCGCGCTGACGCCTTACAGGCGGGAGCGTCACAGTTCGAGAGCAGCGCTGCCAAGCTAAAGAGGAAGTACTGGTGGAAAAACTGCAAGGTCAGTTTTGCTCGCCTTCTCCCCCTTCTGTTCCTGGGCTTCAACCGGGGAAGGCCCGAAACCCCCTCCGGTTCCCCCCTGCCTTCCTTCTAAAGGGGCAGGATTGGAGGGAAGCTCGGCAGCCTCCTTCCCGGGGCGCATGGCCTGACACTGACCACCAGGGGAGGCTAGCGTGCTCCGCACTGCTCACTGGGGAAAAGATAACCCTGAGGAGGCTGCAGATGATTAGTTGTTTTCCCTTAAGAAAAAGAACAGAAAAGAACAATTCTTACCTGGAAAATGAACCAGTTAACTAAAGGTCCCAAGTCTTCAGCCTCATTGGAGTTCCTTTTAAAGCCTTAAGGCAAGAGGAGCTGAGCAAAACCGAGCAGGGCGCAGGGTCTCCGGGGTGTTTGTGCCAGGCAGCCGCTGGGGTCCAGGGAGTGGTCTCTGAAGGGAAGCCAGCCGAGGAGTTGGGCCCAGAGGGGCCGTGTGCTTTCTTCCCCTGTCCAAGAACGGAGGGCATCCCGTGTCCGAGACCCTCGCCCCCTCGCCCTCCGCTCCTTTCCTGTTCCTTCCCGAATCGGAGGGCTCACTTTCCTGTCCGTGTCTCTCCAGATGATGATCATGCTGGGAGCCATCTGTGCCATCATTGTGGTAGTTATTGTAAGTAAGTATCGCTGAGGTGGCCCATGGGGTGACAGATGGGCAGGAGTCTCCTCCCAGCCCTGCCTGCTTGCTGGGGAGTGGGGCTGCTCTCAGAGGTATGGAGCCTGCCCCTGCGGGCCTCTCACCTGGTTTGGGAGGGAGCACAGGAGGGCTGGCGGGTGTGCCAAGCCCCAGGACCTCCTGGATGGACAAGCCTTCCCTCTGCGAGATAATTGTGGGGAGACAGCCCCTCCTGTGCCGAGGAAGCCGGGTGCTGCTGTTTACCACCGGCCTGGGTCCGAGGGAGCCGTGGGGGACAGGACACCTTCTGCGGAAAGGCCCGACTCTCTGTTAACTTGATGTAATTTGCCGTCTTGTTTTCTCCTGTCTCTTTCCTCTTTTTCCGTCTGGCACTCCCCGGTTCCTGTGTCCAGTCTACTTTTTTACTTGAGAATGTACCATCCCTTCCCTGTTCTCCATCGCCAGCCAGACTCATGCCCCGCTCCCTCTGTTTGCTCTCTCAACACACGTCCCCATCTGCCTCCTGGCATCCCAGCGCAGGCTTCTCTGCCACCCATCCCTCCTGTGTTTGTTGCTTTCTGTTGGCACTTTGTCGTAACCCCACCCCCCACCTCTTAGAAATGCTGCTCGTGCAGAGTCTTGGGGTAACCTCTCTGAGAGAGAGAGAGAGAGAGAGAGAGAGCACACAAGCAATAGACGGTGCTTCCTTCCTGATCCCTTCCTCACGTCCCCTCCAGTTCTCCCCAAGCCCCCAAAGAGGTGGAGGCCACCGCAAGGGAGGGAGTAAAAGGGGCAGCTGAGGCGAGGTTGCCAAGGAGGCTGCCAAGACGGGGCAAGAGCAGGGGATGTGTCTTCAGGAGAGGCCGGCCTGCAGGCGGGAGGAAGCCTGGCACGCTTGGGGAAATGGTGGCTCCCTCGTTGCTGCCCTGGCTACCTCACCTGCAACTCTCCCCCTGTGCTAGCTCCGGGAGAGGACCCCACGAGGGGGTCCCCTGTCCAGCTTGGCCCTTTTAGAATGTCAAACCTAGGCTGCTGCTGTTGCTTTTTACATTAGTTACTTCTAACCTTTTAGCCCAAAGTTCTCTAGGTCTTCAGGGATCCTACAATCTCTTACTTAGTTTCTGTAGGCCTGGAGTCCCAACACTGAGAAGATACAGGCCCCTCATTCTCAGCCTAGAAGCAGTCCCCATCCCCACCCCCGAAAGGGCCGTCCCAGCACATTTTGGGATGAAGGGCTGGGCGTAATTTCAGAGAGCCAAGGTTTTGGACTCTCGGTCCATTTTCATTGCTGTCATAAAAGACAACGGTCTGTTGGCTATAGAGAAATGGAGTCTGGGGCCTTGTTTTAAAATGAACTTGGGGTAGGGTGGGAGCCAAGGAACTTAGAGGAAGCTACCTCTTGCCCTTCCACTGTGGATGAAGGAACGGGAGGGGGTGAGAAGTGAGGGGCTTGCCAAAGGCAGGAAGGAAGAAGGTAAGAGGTCCTCCCTGGGCCTGGCCCAGCCCCAGTAGTTAGGGAAGTTTGATGTGCCTGAGAACACAACCCTTAGACAGGAGGCCCGACAGTACTTGGATATTGCTGTGTCGTCCGGGGCCCTCTCCACTAGCCACCTCTGTCCCTCCTGCTGTACCGTCCCCATCTACACCTCCCTCCGTTACCCATCTGCACTCGACTCTGCCTGCTCTCTTGCTCTCCTCTGTTTGGTGTTGGGGTACAGAGAGAGGCAGCTGAGGTTGGGAGCCACTCGCCTGTCTCGAGAGTGGGGTGAGGGGTGGGGGGCTCCTGCTGCCTGGAGGATAGAGTGTTGCCAGGGATAGACCAAAGACCTTGCTGAAAGGGTGAGGAGGGAGGGGAGCAGGGCAGGCTGGGAAGAACAGAGGAGGAACACACCCGAAGCCCTTTATTCCTTCCGCCCTCTGGCTCGGACTGGGGTGGGGTGGGGGCAGGGGTGGCCTGGCCTGGATACTCGCCTCCCACACAGCAGCATTTCATCGAGCAAAACCATCCTCCCTCTCCCGCTGCCTCCCCCCAACCCCCGCTCCCTACCTTCCTGCCCTGGGCAGGACTGAAGAGCTGAAGAAAGCAGTCAGTGTACCCTCCCAGCGTCCCCCCTCGAAGGTCTTCACTCTCCCCTGGGATGCTCCTTGTCTAATCCATGGGGTCACCGCCGGAGCAGCAGCACCACTGTCCTCGATGTGTCCCGAGCCTCGAGCAGATCATGGGCTCCCCCAGCCCCAGCCCTGTGGTGGGGCTCTTTATCTCCCCGGTTCTGCCCCTCTGAGGCGCACCAGAAGTAGCCGGCTTTGTTCTTTGGGGTGGGGGGGCGGTAGCCCTTCTACTTTCTCATCCCGCCCTGAGCCTTCCTCTGTCTTTGTCCCCCCCACCTCTGCCCCCACCCCGAGCCACATGCATGAGCCGTTATGCAGCTAAGCCCTGGGACTCTGCAGGTAGGTGGAGCCCGGCTTCCCACAGCCCCATCTGTCGTCTTCGGTTTGGCCATGAGCCAATGTGGGTTTCCCACTGTGTGTCTGCCGTCACCTCTCTGTCTCTCTTCCTGACCCCGACCTCATACTGGTATAGAGTAATAACAGTTGTACTTCCACCAAAGGCATGTGGCATATTTACTGATGTCATGTATTCTGAACAGAGGCCAAAAAAAAAAAAACCAATACAAATTCCTTCCACTAAACTGACTCGGCTGTTATTTGGGTTGAGGAGCTGGGGTGGGTGGGGGTGGCGTACCCCTTCTCCCTCGAAGCCTCATGCTGCCCGGGGCTGGAAGGGCTGGCTTCTGGGCTCTGCCTGGTCTTGAAGGCATTAAGGACCTGTGTGCGTGGCAGAGGAAGCCGTCTTCACTCGGTGCCCGACTCCTGCAGGTGCTGGTGAGAGGAAGTGACGGCAGGAAGTTGAGTGGGCTTCGCACGCTGGCAGACAACTGACTGCAGGCTTTCTCAGGCACTGGTCTGCCCAGCCCGGCCCAGGGGACCTGCGCAGACGAGGCCTCCGGTGAAGCCCCCTCCCTCCCCGTCCCATGCGGTTTTCTTATGTTGAGCTCCAGGTATAGAAATGAGTCACAGGAGTGCTGTCCCCTGCCCCGGTGAGGGCAAGGACCTCGACCGGCTTCTGACATAGCTGGCTGCTATCTGCAGGCATTGACTTGGCGGATTATGATGCCAGCCACCAAGGGTGGGCGCAGGGCTGCTGAGGGCCTTACCCTTGCACCTTGAACCCATCGCAAGGTGGAGCAGCTATGCATGGGGTCAAGGGGACAGTGTGGTGGAGAAGCTTGGCCTCAGAGGGTGCCAGTGGCTTTTATTCTGACAGGGTCCGGAGTTGGTGAGGGGTGGCCCAGGACCCACCCCTTGGCCCTGTGGCCCCTCGCTTGCTTGCTTGCTTGCTTCCAGTTGGCTCTTAGCCACCTCATCCCCAAACTGGCTCTTGTTTGAAGCTCCACTGTCACCCTCTCTACATAGTCTCCCCGGGTGCATCTGCCCAGGGCTAGTGACTCTGGGGGCTCCTCCTGCCCGTGGAGCCCCCGCTCTTCTTCCAGAGGCCCTCTGGGCTTGTGCGACTGGTCTGAGGCAAGAGGGTGGCTGCCTCAGAAGGTGGACCTCAGAAGGTGGACCTCAGAAGGTGGACCTCAGTGAGATGGCTAGGAGGAGAAAGGAGGCAAGGGGTTAGCTTTATTTAAGGTAGCACTGAAGGCAGGGGGCTGGCTGGGAGCTAGGGTGCTTGGGCTTCATGGGGGGCTGGTCTGAAGGGGAGGTGGGTCAGGGGCTGGGGCTGGGGGCAAGCAGGCTCTTACCTTACCACCTCTGGAGCCCCAGAAACAACAGTACAAAGAGGAAGAGGCTGCTGGCAAAGACGAACCCCCAGGCCGTTCTCTCTGTGGGGTAGAGTGGAGCAGGCCCATGTCACCAGCGCACCTTCGACCACCCGCCTGCCAAGCTCCCCCGGGGGAGGGGCGGGAGGAGCGTGCATTGGCTAGTCCCTAGTGGAGGGGCTCACGTCTGCTCCCTGCCCTCACACCGATCCCACAGAGCGGTTGTGCTTGTTGACTATGGTTGGATGTTCTTGTGTGTTCCTCCACATAAGTCTCTTCCTCTTCCCACCTCAGGAGGCCGGTTCACTTGTTTGGATTAGGTGAGTTGGGAACCACCAAACCGGGATTGTGTGGAGCCGGGGAAGGGCCTGAGCAGAGACAAAACCCTGACCAGAAGCGCCTGGCCCAGGAGCACCGCTTCGTGCCCAGGGCCGCCTGCACTCCGGTTTCTGAGTGCGAATTCTTCCCTGCCACTCGCCTGCTGGAAACCTTTCCCCACCCAACTGTGGCCTTCAGGATCCTGCACAAGCCAGGAGGCCCACCCTGGTCTGGCCACTGGCAGCAGGTGGGGAGGCGGGCTGTCTGTCTCATTTTCCCTGTGATCCCTTACTTAGGTCGGGGACCTTGGGCAGCATCTCTGTGTGTCCAGTGGAAGCACGCGCTCCCACACACGTGTGCGCCTACATTTCTGTGCGTCCTCGGCAGCCACGGCGGTGTCTTGAGCCTCCTCCACGTCTCCTTTTTGTGCAGATGCCTTGGCTCTAGCTATGCTGCATTTCTCTCAGCTCCTGAAGCCTGAGGCTGCTTGATGATCCGGGTGTCACGTGTGCCCTTCTTTTTGTCTTGAGGACCCCCAAGGGCCCTCCCACCCCAGCTAGCTAGCCAGACTCGAGACCCAACTGCCCCCTCTCGGTCCTCGTCACCCATGTCTCCTAGTCCGGACTGAGCCCATGAGCGCGGGGCCAGGCCGAGGTCAGCCTTGCTCTCCCACCAGCAGCTCCATGCCTGACAGAGCAGAGCGGGGAATGGGGGAGGCTGCCATCGTGGGGAAACCTAGCGTAGCAGAAGCAGGGCAGTGGACTGAGCACCATGGGAAGCAGAACAGGCTGCCAGGTGGTATTGGGGGGTCGGGAGAGCCAGGAGCCCAACTGTGGTGGGGCACGGGGATGCTGCCTGGTACCTGGGGGGGCGATCCAGGTGCTGGCTTGCAGGGGCTCCTCCAGGGAGAGGTGGGCGACCTGGCAGGTGTATGTGGCGCCGGCAGGGCCCGGCTCTGCCGTCAGAGAGGAGGAGATGCTGTAGGTGCCTGCTGAGCTCTGCCGGAGGCTGGAGAAAGAGGCCCCAGAGACCGGGGCTGGGCTTCCTCCCTGCTCCTCTCGGATCCACGTCACAGCCACGTCCAGAGGGTAGTAGCCAGCAATGCTGCAGATGAGCGTGGGCAGCGGGGCTTCACTGGCCAGGTTCAGTTGTACTCTTGGGGGGGCTGGTACAAAGGATGGGAAGGGTGACCGTAGGCTGCCGAGGCTCAGAGCCCTTTGCCATGGTTGAACCAGAACCAGGGGGCTGGCCCAGATTGTAGGCAACAAAGGGCCCCTTTTCCACGGGTACCCTAAAACACGTGAACAAGGTCGCCTAAAGGTTGGCTTGCTTTTGATTGTCATGACAGGCCAGTGGTTTGTAAGCATGTCGGTGACCAAGTAGGGGACCTTATCTGATGCCATCTGTTCTTCTAGGATGGAGAAGGCATTCAGGGTGTGGGAGAGCATCACTCAAATCTGCCCTCGTGCCTGAGCCCCTGGGCCGGAAAACACTCCCGACAGCTCTCCCCCACCCCCGCGGCCACTGGAGCCCGGCCTCACCTTGCACGCTCAGCCGGATGATTTGCTGAGCTCGGTACAGAGAGGTAGTGATCTGGCAGATGTAGGCCCCCTCGTCCTTTGCAGTGAGGCTGGGCAGGGTGAGTGAGGCGTCCCCGGGCAGCTCGGGCTCCAGGCTGGCGCCCTCCCGCTTGGCCTGCCCCTGGCCCGAGGCCCAGTGGTACACCAGCTGGCCACTGCCCTTATGCTGCAGCCGCCACTCCACACTGACGAGGTCCAAGCCCGGCGCCATGGTGTAGCCACAGTGCAGGGAGGGCGAGGCCCCCAGCAGGGAGCTCAGGGATGGGGTCTGGGTGGTCACCTGGAACTCCACTGTGGGAGAAAAAGTGGGGTGAGCTAGGGCGCCTGTCTCCTTGGGGTTCCCCGGGGTGACGCTGAGGCTGTGGACAAGACGGCCCCGATCTCCCGCCAGATGGGGGTCCCAAAGAGAAGGGGTGAAATGCCAGCATCTGGTGGGGAGCATAGATATCGAGGATATCATCCTTTTTAAAATTTTGTTTTCTCATTTCGGGTGTTCTATAGGTTTGAAATATCCCAGGATAAAAAGGAGGGACATCTGGCAGACGTGATGGCCCCTGGCTTCCGAGGCAGCTGGATGAATGTAGGCTCGCCAACAAAGGGTAGCATAGCAGGGTAGCCCTCTAGTCTGGGCTGGAGCGTATCTTCTTGGAGGCAAAAATAGTGGGTGAGGGGGACTCTGAAGATCTTTTACCATGGGCTTGATCCCCTGTGCCCCCTCACAATGCCAGCTCTCTGCCAGGGAGGCGAATGCCTCCCACTTCCCCGGGAGTAGAAAGCTTCTGCGAAGAAGAGACCATAGACTCATTGTAGGCTCTCCCCAAGGGAAAGGTGTTTATCTGAATGCATGCCTGTGCTTTGCTCGATGGTCGTGCAGAGAAAGCTGACCGGGGCTCAGTAAGACTCTTCAAGACGGAGACTGGTGCAAAGGTGGGTGGAAACGGGAATGGATCACAGTGATCGACATAGAACCCCTCCCAGGGGGATGGACAACCGGAACATGGGTGAAGGGAGAGACAGCGGTTGGGGTAAGACATTGGGAAAAAAAATTTATAAATTATCAAGGGTGCATGAGAGAGGGAGGGTGGGGAAAGGGGGGGGGATGAACTGATACCAAGGGCTCAAGTAGAAAATGTTTTGGAAATGATGTTGGCAACATATGTACAAAGGTGCTTGACATGATGGCTGGATGGATTGTGATAAGAGCTGTATGAGTTCCCCCATAAAATGATTTAAAAAAAAGACTCTTTAAGACAACACAGCGGGCAGCCTGGCATGCCTTATATCCTGACACCAACCCAGACTCCATGCCACTGGCTCGATTTCAACTCACAGTGACCCTACAGTGGTCTCTCAGGCTTTGTGAATCTGTGCAGGAGCAGACAGCCTGTCTTTCTCCTGCAGAGCGGATGGTGGGTTTGACTCACCAACTTTGCAGTCAGTATTCCAACGCTTACCTGACAGGGCCGCCACGCCTCCTGACCTAGCAGGCCGTCATGGGGTGGCCTTCTCTCTAAGTGGGAGTCAACTCCACGACCTTGGGGTTTTGATTTTGGAGAAGAAAACAGGTTGGCCTTGTGTTTGGACCCTCAGTATCCTCTCTGGACTCGGGGGTCTTCAGGAAGGAGGGGCATGGAGGCTTGGGGGGCCACCCTAATGTGACCTATGTGATGGATGGAAAGGACTTGATCTCTTGTCTCTGCCCACTCCAACATACAATAAATAAAACTTCCTGCCAGCCACCTGCTTTTTCCTTTCTTACCTGCAGTCTTCACAGAGCCCCGGGGGCCCAGGGGCAGCTGCATCGTGGGGTCCCAGGCAGCCCTGTTCTCAGTCTCTCCCAGGGACTTCATCACCATGGAGACACTCGGCCCCTCTTCAGACACCTGCACGTTGGCAACGAACCACATTGTGGTCTCCTTCGTGGCCTCGGGTCTGGTCTGGAGAGAGTAGTGGGAGATCTCACAGGTCACCTCCTTCTGGTTGCAGTCGGCGTGGAGCAAGGCCTCAGCCTGGGGGACCTGGACCAGGTCCACTGGAGGAGAAGAGTGACACACTGAGGGAGAGCCCGGGCCGGGGGGACACAAGTGGGGTTATACACACAGGGGCAGGGCTGACCCTGCCCAGGGAGTCTGGAAGGTCTTCTACACAGGGAGTGCACTTACCGGAAGCCTCAAAGGTCACCTGGAAGTCATCCTGGGCCGTGGTGCTCTCCTGGAAATCCGTGAAGCCTTCCAAGGAGCCATCATCCAGCACGGGCACCTTCCTCAGCACCAGCAAGGCCTTTGCCCTGTCCCTGATACTGGCCAAAGTCCCACGGTGCCCACCATCCTTCACCAAGAAGCAATCCAAGACTACATCCACTGCCCGCCACTGCCTTTCTGTCATCGGGGTGTCTGGGGGAGAAGGCAGGGTGAGCACCCCCTTAACCAGAAAGTTATTCCAGCACTCTCCGGCTCATTCCCCGCCCCCCACTACCCCTGACTGTGGCACCGGGAAGAGGTGCCCGCTGCCCGCTGCCCGCTGCTCCTGCTCTCGGGGTAGTATCTGCCTGGCCAGGCCAGTATTTCTTGCTGTGAAGAATATCCTGGGTTTGCCATGCTCAGTTTTCACTCTTATTTCCATTTTATTTTATTTATTAATCATTTTATTGGGGCGGGGCTCTTACAAATCTTATGACAATCCATCCTTCAATTGTATCAAGCACACTTGTGCATATGCTGCCATCATCATTTCTAAAACATTTCCTTTCTACTTGAGTCCTTGGTATCAGCTCCTCTTTTTACCCCCTCCTTCCCCCACCCTCCCACCCTCATGAACCCTTGATCAATTAGAGGTGATTGTTGTTATCTTGTGTCTTACAGGGGAGGTGCATTGTCTCCCTTCTCTCACATTTCTGTTCTGTTATTCGTCCCCCTCGGGGGGGGGGGGGGGGGGGGGGGGGGGGGGGGCTACATACCCAACCTTAGGATGGGTTTTCCCTTTCTCCCGCTTCTTCCCCCATCCCTGTCCCAGCTATTTCCAGTTTTGAAGGAAAGTCTAGCTCCTCCGTCAAAGGCAGTCGTTTGCAACCTGTGGGTTGCGACCCTTTTCGGGGATGGGGGGGTTGGGGTGGAAGGTGTCAAACGACCCTTTCACAGGGGTTGCCTAAGACCATTGGGAAATACATATTTCCGGTGGTCTTAGGAATCTTAGGAACCGACACCGCTCCTCTATCCGTCTCCAGGCAGGTCCACCCACATCCAGATGTGCTGATCTGCTAAGAAAGAAGCTACCTCAGCCTTCCCACCGACTGTTGGTTTTACACATACTGTGGCAAATGTAACAATGTAGTTTCCTGTTGTTATATTAAGACTATTACCTATGCTACACCATGCTTCAAGACAAAATTTCACTTATTTGTAATTAGAAATGAATATTTCACAATATAGTTACATATTGTTTTGTGATTAATCACTATGCTTTTAAAAATCATTTTATTGGGGGCTCGTAGAACTCACAATCCATACATCAGTTGAATCAGGCATGTTGTACATATGTTGCCCTCATTCTTTTCTAGACATTTACATTCTATTGAGCCCTTGGTATCAACTCTTTCCCACCCCACCCCCCCAACCACCCTCATAGCCCTCTGATAGATTATACATTGTTATTATTTTCCTCTCACACCGACCCGCTGTCTCCCTTCCCCCATGTTTTCTGTTCTTCCCCCTGGAGAGGGGTGTATGGTTATGTGTCGCTCCTTGCGATCGGTTCCCCCTTTCTCCCTTCCTCTCTCCAATCACGATGCTTTATGATATTCAGTGTGTAACGATGAAAATACATCCTGCATAGCAGATATTTACACGACGATTCATAGCAGTAGCAAAATTACAGTGATGAAGTAGCAATGAGACTAATCTTATGGTTGGGGGTCCCCACCACGTGAGAAGCCGTACACAGGGTCCCAGCATGAGGACAGTGGAGAACCGCTGGTCAAAGGGATTCTCAGCATAGGCAAACAGCTGGGCAAATATTGGGGCAGTGGGGGCAGCAGGGGGCCTTCTAATCCCAGGGGCCTGGCAACCACCTTGCATTTCCCCAACCTGCCCACCTCGGGACAGACTGCACTCTTCCACGGCAGGGAGGGGGTGGGTTTCCTAGCTCAGGGAACCCCACTCTCATGGGAAGGTGACCCCTCTCAGGGGCCCAGGGCAGTGACTCCCCATAGTGCCCACAGAGGAGAGCCCTCTCCGGGTAGTCTCTCCACACACATTGTTGGGTCCTTACTCGCCAGCCCCCAGCCTTTCTCGACTGCTGGGCTTGGAAGGCGACTCCTGTGGGGCGCCCGTGCTCCACAGCCCTTCTATGGGGGGGACAGCCACCAGCCCATCAGCCCCGCCCCCACCCTGCCCCACTCACCGGTCTCCGCGGAGGCCCACAGGGCCCAGCCCAGCAGCAGGCACCACACCCCGGCGCCCATGGGGGCTGCTCTGGGGCCCCCTCAGTCACGCCCCTCTCCACGATCCCTCCTTTGGGAGAGCCTGCGCAGGAACACGCTGCTGGTCCACTAGACACCCCTCACCGCTAACGCAGGGCAGCCTTCCCGGCCGGCCGGCTGTCA